TCAAGTATGTACCTTGTAAGCAGTGTATAGTAAGATCTGGTTTTTTATGTAAGCTGACGATCTTTGTCTTTTGAATACATCGTTTAGTTCATTACTCTACATTACTTTTAATGTAGTTTCTATATGTTGCATTTAAATCGACTGTCTCATTAGTGTTTTCTGTTTGATGCTTGTGTATTTCTTTTTCTTTCCTTTGTAACCTTCTTTTCAATTGGTCATTGTGGGCAAAAGGCAAACAAAATTCTATTTCTTCTGCTTGACAATTAAACCTCCGTTAAATTTCTACCTCTGTTCCTGGAATTAATGCAGCAAGATGCCTATCAACAATATTACTACACAGCACTGCTTATGATAAAAATTACTCCTGTTTGTAAGTTACACCTCTGCTGGGAGAATAAGAAATATCTGATGGGGATGACATACTTGGGCTTCCCTGAGTACAGGGACTCATGTAGTAAGCATGTCCCTTTTGAGGACCCTGGATGCTATGTCTTCAGACCTATTTTAAGGGATATTGGATACTATGGGGCATGAGGCTTTTAAACCAAGGGCACTTTACATACCCTCTCAATGTGGATCTGTCTCCCTCTTTTGGGACTTGAGCTACTCAGACCATCTCGCCGAATCTGCTGTGCCTCTTAACTTTGCCTTCATTTCCACATTTTTGTCTCTCTCTGCTTTGTTCTGGGAAATTTCTTCCCAAGAATACCTTCGAAGACGGATCCATTGACTTCTCGATTTCCATCACAATGTTTTTCAGTCCTAGGTTAGGCATTTGATTCAGTTCATTTTTATAGTTTCTGGTTCTATAAAAAATTCTCAATATTGCCTTTTGTCGTCTTGAGCACAGTAATCAGTTATTTTATTACCTCTGTCTGATAACTCCAATTATCTGGATCCCTGTAGGTCTGTTTATTTGGTATGTTTTTGCTGTTTCTAATCCTCATTATCTTGGTTCCTTATGTGTCTGGTTAATTTTTATTTTGCTCCCAAATTATATTGGCAAAATTATTTCTAGAAATAACTGGAGACCCAAGTTTATGTCATCTTTCTCTGGTAAAGATTTACCTCAGGCCCTTTTAGGCAGCTAAGAGCACTAGTATTTCAAATCAGCTATTCCAGTTTCAAGTCCCCATGAGGGCCTGCCTGCTTCTGACTCACACTCATTGCTAGTGGTGACCTTTTTGGATCCCAGCCCAAAGTGAGAGGGGTTTGTTTACCCATGACCTCCGTTTCAGGCCCTACTCTCTGATCTCTTTCCTGCTAACCCTATGAGGCTATCAAAACTACTCAGACCCCCCATCCGCCTCCTCCGGAATTGGCAGATTCTCCTGGGGAAAAGGAGACCTCAAACCTGGAAACCTCCATTGCATCCTCCTCCTCCTAGATTATGGTCCCATCATTTAATTCTCCACTGTCTTTAAGCAGGTGTTTTTTTGTGTATTTTAATTGCCTGTCCTAGCTGTCCCCAGCATGAGTGCTTGTTTAAATTACCTAGTCCATCATCACAAACTGGAAGTCCTAATACTCTCTTTTCATAAATTAGGTTATTAGGTCCAGAGAGACTTTAACAGAATTAGCTAAGAGCAGAGACAACAAATGCTCAAGTATCCTGATTCTGTGTGATGCTAATTCTGTTACACCACTGTCAAGTGTACAGATAGATCTAGTAGCATTTTGGCATTTGCTGTGCTCAGTGACACTTCTCGCAGTTTATTCATCAAGCAGTAAAGGTCTCGTATTCCAGGAAACTCGCAGAAAATTTTCAAGTAAATAGTATGTCCTCCCTGCCTTCTCCATCCCATTAGGTTTGTTTTAAATTCATTTAAACTTTTTTTAAAAAGTGAGCCACAATCTCCCCATATAAATCTTCCATCTGAAAACCATTAGATTCATGAGCATGTGGTCACCCATCACTATTTTCTAAAGTAAGATTCTGCTTGTACTTTATAATAATAGCAAATCTTTGCTTAATACCTAAGCCAGGGATTAGTGTTTCAGAAGAGGGAAGAAGTATCAGTTGTCTACTAATACATAACAAGTCACCCTAAAATGTAGTGCCTAGAACAACAGCAATTGATTGTGTGTCTCATGATTTGGTGGGTTGACCGGCCAGTTCTGCTGGTCTCACTGGGGCACACCAGACAGACAGGTGTAGTCAGCCGAGACTGGATGGTCTAAATGCCATGACTGGCTGAATGACTGGAGAACTTGGCCTCTTTCTTCTTTTAGTTTTTAGTCCTGAGTTTCTTCACATGATGGAAGAAATGTTCTAAAAGTTCACAGCACCTCAAGGCTGAGTCTCCACGAGTAACCCAATATCACTTCCGCCATATTCTTTTGGTTAAGACAAGTCACAGGGCCAGCCCTGATCCCAGGATCCCAGCCCTGATCACCTCTTGCTGGGAGGTGCAGCAAAATATCATGTTCCTGTCTTTAAAGCTGCCCCACTGTGATGAAAAAAGGCAGGTGTGGTAGGCAGAATAATGGCCTCTGCATTTCAACACCAGTTCTCAGACACTGATGGACAGAGTGTCCTACAATTCAGATCAGTTCTAATACTAACTACCTAGAACAGCCAGATGAAGAGATGCACACAGTGACAAGATCAGGTAGGTCTGGACATCTGGAGACCAAGAGCTTCTCTCTCCAAGGAGATGGGTTACATCACCACCCCCCCACCCCGTACACTGATATGTTCATCAACCAGAAAGCTCTTTCAAGCTGAGGTATCAGAGTTGTGTTTTGTTTTTGTTTTTTTTTAAATAAGGGTTTTAATTACATAAGTAAGATTGGTTAAATCATTAGCCCATGATTGGACTCAACCTCCAGCCTTCCCTCCGTGGAGTTCAGGCTGCTGAAAGTCCCATCTCTAATCCTGTGAAGGGTTTTTGTAATGTTCACCACCCATCCTAAATTTGTGTGGGAACTGGGCAGGAGTTACCACATTAGCATAACCAAGACAGTCTTACCACTGAAGAAATTCCAAAGGTTTTAGAAGTTCTATGCTAGGGGCCTATGACAAAGTCCAGATGGAGAGAGAGAGATTTTATTATTTTTTTATTATTATTATTATTATTATTATTCCACAGCCTCCTAAGGTTGTCCATGCCCTAATCCCCAGAACTTGTAACCATGTTATGTTGCATGGCAAGGTAGAATGAAGTTAAGTTTACTTGATTTCTGAATTTAAAGAGATTATCCTGCATTATCCAGGTAGGGCCTTTGTAAATTTAAGAGTCCTTCAAAGGAAAAGAGGAATGCACAAGAGTCAGAACCAGGGAGACAGTATCATTTGAAAGACTTAACAGGCCATTACTGGCTTTCAAGATGGAAGGAGACCACAGGCCAAGAAATGTGGGCAGCCTCTAGGAGCCGGAAAAGATAAGAAAGTGGGTTGTCCCTAAGAGTCTCTAGACAATCAGAGCCCTGCTGACACCTGGATTTTTAGCCCAGTGAGACCCATCTCAGACTGCGGACCTCCAGAGTTCTGTGGTTTAAGCCAACATAAATTTGTGGTGGTATAGAAGACACCTCTGTGCTTCAGAGCCCAAGTATAACACGAAGACCGAGTTTGGGATAAAGAGGAGTGAGAGCTTTCTTGCTTCACAGGGCAAAGGTGGCTGCACAAGCCATGGCCTTCAAAAACCGCAAGCCCTTAGGGAGGAGGGGCCTGGAGTGGTTTATAGGGAAATAGAGGATCCAGCTGGTTTTGACCCGAACTGTGTAGGCGCTACCAGCCTCCTTCATCACGTCTTTAGGGTGGTACCGGTTCCTGAAACAAAAGGCTAAGAGGAGTGGAGGGGAGCTTTATGGAAGAGAGGAGAAAGAGTACTGCAAAACTGAGCTTTGCTGAAGCATTAGTGCGGCCATTTTGATTTTTGTTCAACTTTGTGTTCTTAAGCGGTTTCTGTGGTAATCCACTGTGGCAGCAATAGGAAACAAACACAGCAGGGACTAGAAAAAGGGAAAAAGTGGCATTTTTTTCCATCATGGAAAGCAGCGTGATAAATCTGTCCTTGGAGCTTCCTGTGTAAATGTTGAAAACTCAGTCTGTTCAGAATGCAGGTAACTTCACATTCTTCAAACCTCTCTTACTTCTTAAATTATTTACTACTTCTTTTTACCACCAGCCCTCATTAGAGCTCAAAATTGCCTCATTATCTACAGAGGACTCTGTCTCTTAATTAAAGGGCATCTGTGGGTCTGATAGGTAATAGATGAGAGAAGGGACAGTAACTTTTTACTCTGGTAAGTAGGATACATTTGACCTCCTTGATTTGTCCCGTGAGAATGTGTTACCTTCAGCAAACCAGGATCCATCTTACACAGGCACAGTTTTATATTTAAAAGGAATTATGATCTAATACATGGTATAAAACTTAATTGGCCCCGAGGGAGGGATTTCTTGGTAAGCTCTTGCTTAGAGTCAGTGACACCTACAGGATGTTTTGTGACTTCTCTACTTGTAAATTTTAATCTCTTTTTCAAAAGCACAAAATAATGTGATGATGATGGTGATGGTGATGGCTGTGGTGGCCATGATGGTGGTGGTGGCCATGATGGTGGCTGACACTTACGGAGCACTTACTGTATGCCAGAGCTGTGCTTACATTTTATGTTCTTCATTGCAGGTCATCTTTTATCATGGCTCCTGCCTCTTTCCACTAAATTACTCTTTCCATTCCTTTTTAACCATCTTTCCATAAATACACATAAACTCAATGTTTATACATCTCAATTATTTGCTCCTTTGTTTTATCCCCTTTCTACAGTTCCTGTGAATTCTAAAATCTAATAAAACAAAATTTTAGCTAGATGCACAAGAACTCCCAATCTTGAAGGGAAAGGAAGAATAACTACTTTATCCACAAGTATATGTCTGAGAAATTAGAGGCACTGAGCTTAATTTGACACAATTAACACTAATTACATGTTAGAGTCCTTAGTTTGGGATTTTTCTCCAGTGAAACTTACCATTTGCTGATTTATTTCTTTAGGAGCCGTATTATGTACGTTGCATCAAACCCAATGACAAAAAATCCCCACAGATATTTGATGATGAGCGCTGCAGGCACCAAGTAGAGTATCTTGGACTACTGGAGAACGTGAGGGTGCGGCGAGCAGGGTTTGCCTTCCGGCAAACATACGAGAAGTTTCTTCACAGGTGAGAACAGACTAAAGAACCCTGACAGACATGGACAAATCTGGGGTCCTCCCCATGTAGGACAGTGCGTCAGCCCATACTAAATAGTCCCAATATTTGTCGAACGAGTAAGAGTCGAGGGAACCCCAACTATGAAAAACTCACTCAGCAGAAGAATCTCCCTGAGTTTATGATTTATGGACCACGAGAAAAGATTTATTCTGTGGGGGGAAAATGTGGGCGTTGTAGTTTGGTAAAGAGAACCTATTTTCAGAGTCATATCTGGGTTGGAATCCTGAGTATGCCACTCATTTTCTGTGTGAACTTGGGCTAGAACTTTAACATCCTTGACTCTGTTTCTCCATCTGTAAATGAGTTTAATAACACTACCTCATAAGGTTGTTATTGGGAGGATTAAATTAACCTAAGGAGAATAGCTAGGTGCCTGGTACTTAACAGATGTTCAATTAGTGCTGCTTATCCTTACCAATATTAGTAATTATCATAATGACAAAATGTTAAGCAGTTAGTCATGGAGACCATGTAGTTGGTCTACTTGGTTTAAATCCTGGCTTTGCCATTTCTTGGCTTTTTGACCATGGGCAAATTACATTATCTTTCCATGCCTCTGTTTCCTCATGTGTTAAAAAGGGGGGTAATAATAGTAACTATTTTTTAGGGTTGCTGGAGAATTAAATGAGATTAGTTGTGTGTATGTATGTATGTGTGTGTGTATGTATCTATGTATATGTATGTATCTGTATGTATGTATGTATACATATGTATGTATCTATGTATGTATGTATGTATCTATATATATCTATATATATATGTACATAAAGCAGTTATAGTGGAACCTAGCATATAGAAGTCAACATATGTAAGCTCTCATTGCTGCTGTTATTTATTGTTGGTAATGATAATGATAGTTGACAACTAGGACTCAAAGTCCCTTTAAGTTCCATCTGTTCATTAATCTAAAAATATTTATTGAACATTTCCTGGGTTCTAGACTACAGATTCCACAGAGTATGAATAAATAGATAAAATATTAGATGCTCAGAAGAGTGTCTAAAGAGATCATGGTGGTAGGAGGAGCTAGCCACACGACCATCAGCGGGAACAGCAGGTGGGGCAGAGGAACAGTGGGCAGAGGCTCTTTGTGGTAGTGAGCCTGGTGTGTTAGGTAGCGAGCATAGCCATGTGGTTGGAGGCTGCTCAGTGACAGAGCAGGGGTGTGAGACGAGATCAGAGAGGTGGACAGGGGCCAGATCATGTTGAGTTTTATAATCCAGACTAAACAGTTTAGATTCCGGCTAAATCTGGCAGGAACCCATTGGTGGATTTTAAGCAGGGAGCAACGTCATCTTATGGCTATCTGAGAAGATGCTGTGGCTGCTGTGTGAGTAGGAAGCAAGGAGACATTTAGGGATGTTACTGCGGGAGCCTGGGAGAGGGGGCTTCGAACAAGAGAAAACTGTAGATGCGAGGGTAGCAGACGGATTTGGGATACGTTTCAGGGGAAGGTTGAGTAGGCTTGCTCATGGGTTGACGAGATAAGAGAGGAACAGAGAGAGGAGTGAAGGATCACAACTCGACTTTGGCATGGGTAAGCATAGATCATCTGCTGAGAAAAGATTGGGTAAGAGAGGCTGGAGGAAGAGGTCATGGAACAGGAGCAAGGATGGAGTCAAGATTTATCTCTTGACTTCTAGGTTTGAAATGGCTACTAAAAATCTAGGTAGAAATGTTAAGTGAGCTATTAAATACACATATCGGGAGTTCCAAAAAGTAGTGCAGGTTGGAGATAGAGATGGTGAAGTCATTAGTCTAGAGATGACATAGAGAGTCTTAGAACTTTCTATAGAGAAGACAAGGAGGCCCATTCAAGCACTTAGGTTTGTGTTCTGACATGAAGAAACCACCAAGAGAAGAAAAGGAGCCACCAATGAGACAGAGGAGATATCAGAAGAAGGTTATGTCACAGAAGCCAAGAGAAGATGGCATTTCGAGAAGAAAATGTAGTTACCATATCCCACATTGCTGTGCAGTCCAGTAGTCAAGTAAGACACAGGTAGAAGCTCCAGCATTTGATCTGGCAACATAGAGGCCAAGGGAGAAAAGTCTGGACAGAGCCCGATTTGAACAGGTTGGGAAGTGAAGTGAGAAGTTGGCTGCCTGTAGACAACTCAAGAATTTGTGCTGTGAACGAGGGCAGGGAAGAATGAGAGCGGGAGTGGGATGTGAGGTCAGGAGACACTAGGAAACATACAGAGGGAGAACCCAGAAACACAGGACTGAGGGAGGTCCTTGTCATCATCATAATATCCTTGAGAAGGCAAGGCTCAGAATCCCACGCACAGGTGGAAGGTTTGTCAGCATCAGGTAGGAGCTGGGACACCCCCCATAGCAACAGGACAAGAGGCAGAGAATATGAATATAGCACAGAAAGGCTCAGAGGTCAGCAGATGGCAAAGATGATGTTCCAATCTGATTGCTTCTGTTTTCTTAACCAAGCATGAGGCAAGGCCAAAACGGGGGAGTGGAGATAGGGAGAGGTGGTGTGGAGGTTTGAGGGGAAGTGGCAATACTCATTTTTGGAGAGTGGGAAAGCACAGATTTGTATGGTAGGATTGCCCGTCAGGAAGATCCAAGTGTCCTTGTGAGATCTGAGCTTAGCAATGTACAGTGAGACCGTCAGCATTATTAGTTTTCTCTGCCAGTGTTCAGCTACTTTTGCACAGCAGTGAAAGGGATTGCACTAAATGGAGATTCTCAGAATGAATAAAGTGCAGTAGCCTGGAAAATTTGAACTTCATTTTACACTAATCAAAAGGTTATGCTCAAAACTGGCCATTTTCCTTATTGAAATCACACTGTTCTTTAGATTTGGTTTTTCATTTGCTTACTGAGGCTGTAGAGTTGGAATGTTTTCATAAGTAGAGATGTTTTTCTTCTGACTCTCATTTTCAAACAGTGTCAAATTATGTTAGAAGGATTGCTAGTTCATTGTTATTACACTTAAAATTCTAGCAACTGCTCAGTCACAGAATTTGTTTTTTTGTTATCACCCATAAAAAAAAATCAGACATTAAATATTGGAATGAGCTGGGTGGGACTGGGTAACTATACAATGCGGCTGAACAGAAAATATTTTATCATGAGACAGGGAAAGCCGTGGCAAGTAGCTGGGGTAAGAGAATAGTAAGCAAGCCTGACTTGGAGGAGACAAGGAATTTTGCAAGTGCATCCATATCTTTTACATTGAACTCAGGAGGTTTTGGTGTGTTTGTTTCTCGGCATGGGAGACGTGCTGTAAGGATTGGAATTTGTTTTCTAGTACATGCATAAAAATACAATAGAGGAGATTCAAAGGAACCTGTGAATTTCAAATATGGAGGTCTTAGTGACATAAGCATAAATCCATTCCTACTCCAAGAACATCCCCAAATAATGTAAATTATGTTTCTTTAAAACCAAGAAAATGCACAGCCACACTCTGGAATCAAGAAGGGGCTTGAGTCTCAATGAACTTGGAAATGCGACTCCCTCCCAAATATGATGTGAAGCAGATGTGAAGACTAAGGTGTAAGCCAAAGTTGCAGTTTTAAGGAAGGACTGCCTTTGCCGCTCAGGAAACCATCCTGAATATACTGTCTCTGTGGAGTTGGCCATGGCTGCAGCACCAGGAGATGGCCACAATGGCCAGAACAAGAGACATGTCAGTGGTTGCAAGGGGGACATCGTAGCATGATTGCCGACACCCTTGAAGCAAAAGTCACCACATACAAAGCCAACCAAGGCCAAGATATACCCAAAAGGGCTCTGTGGAAATAGACAAGATAGTGGTGAAACATCTAAGAAGTACCAGACCTTGAAGAAGAGACAGTAAGCCCAACAGATGCCAAACCTTACCCCCGAGGAACCAAAGCAAGGAGTAAAGGGCATTGGAATAAGCCTATTTAATATTTTCAGAGAGATAAAGGAAAGAATTATGGTCCTAGACTAGGAATATGAAGTCAGAAAGAATAATTAGAGATTTGGAAAATGAAAATCAGATTAAACGCACCTGAAGAAAGCACCGTCCATCAGTAGGAGAATGAATCAGCAATGGGTCACAGAATTACACAGTGGCTGCTAACCAGCATTAAAGGGGGTGACTGTCTGATACAGCAACATGAACTAATAGCACATTGTCTCGACAAAGGATAGTCACCAAAGAATACATACTGTATGCTGCCACTTATAGCAAATTCAAGAACAGATAGAAGTCAGAATCATGGTCAGTTCTGGAGTGGGGGAACTGGTGGGAAGGGGGAAGGAGGCACTCTCTACGATTATGGGGATGTTCTGCCTCTTGATGGGCTGTCAGTTTCAAAACTTGTTAAACTGTATACCTAAATGTGTGCTTTTTTTTTTTTAAAGATTTTATTTATTTATTTGACAGACAGAGATCACAAGTAGGCAGAGAGGCAGGCAGAGAGAGAGGGGAAAGCAGGCTCCCCGCTGAGCAGAGAGCCCGATGTGGGGCTCGATCCCAGGACCCCGAGACCATGACCTGAGCTGAAGGCAGAGGCTTAAACCACTGAGCCACCCAGGCGCCCCTAAATGTGTGCTTTTGACTGTGTGTCAACTTAACCACAATTAAAAAGAATTAAACCAAACCTGTTTTTAAAAAGCACATTGGTAAACTGGAAGATCAAGTTGAAGCGTTCTTGCGGATGTCATCACAAAGACAGAGACGGGAGAAACTAGAGCTCAGGCGGTCTATAAGGTCGATCCCAGAGTGCCAATAGCCGCTCATGGGAGCACCCGAAGGGAAGGAGAGAGAGAAGAGGGGAGAAGCACTGTTGGAACAAGTAGTGGCCAGAAATTTTCCACAACTGAACAAAGACAGAAATCTTCAGATCAAAAGAATACACTGAGTGGAAATCATGTGAATTTTTAAAAAAATGAAACTAAGGTATATTATGTTCAGTTTTAGAATGTTAGAGATAAAGGGAAATACTTAAAGCTCCCGAGAAAAGACAGAGTACTACCAGGGAACGAGAACCATACAGATATCAGACTTCTCATTAGCAACATTGGATGCAACTAGACAAAGCAGCAGTATCTTTATAATGAGAGGGGATGAACTTTATACTTGGAATTTTATTTCACGCCAGGACGCCTGGGTGGCTTAATCAGTTGAGCAGCCATCTCTTGATTTTGGCTCAGGTCATGCTCAGGTCAGGATGGAGCCCTGCATCAGGCTTCATACTCCGTGGGGAGTCTGCTTAAGGATTCTTTCTCTCTCCCTCTCCATCTCTCTCTTGTTCTCTGCACCCCCCCATCTTTCTCTCTCTCAAATAAAAAAATCTTTAAAAAGAATTTTATTCCATGCCAAATTATCATTCCAGAATGTCAGTACAATAAAAATATTTTCTGACATATATGGGCTCAAAAAATTTACCGTTCAGAGATGCTCTGAAAAATCTTCTAGACCAAAGGGAAAAATAACTGTGGAGGAGAAAAACGGAATGCAAAAAGTAAAATTGAACAAATAAAGCAATGAAACTTTTTGTTAAGTGTAAGCATGTATCCATTGTAAGTGGGAAAAAGTCTTTGGTAAAAATCTGGAACAAAAATGAAAATTGGAGTGAGAAGTACAGAGAAGTAAAGACTTTTATACTGTTTATGGGAAGGATATAGATGATAATTAACTAGACAGGAAAAAAACAAGCATATATTTTCATATAAATATACACTTTTTATATATTAAAATTTTTATTTTTTATATATATTAAAAATTTTAAGACAATGTTATTAATGGTGGCTAATGCTTTTGAATTGCTCATTGTATATCCCAGGCACTGTTTTGAGGGCCCTACCTGTAGTAGGTAGTAAGTTACTGGAGGGGACAGCCAGATAAGGAGAAGATGGTACCTCCCATTTTTATGCAGATGAGGAAACAGGCACCGGAAGTTTGAGTAACTTGCCCCAGGTCACAGAGCCTAGTCAGGCAAGTAGGAGCCCTATTTCAACTCCGGCAGTTGCCTCCGGTGCCCACCATCAGTGCATTGCCTCACTATTGAAGGGATGGCTTTCAAATCAAAAGACAAAATGAAATAAAGAAAACTCAATCTATCCAAGAGAAAAACGGTAAAAAGCAACAGCGAGAAGGCACACCTAATAGAACATATAAAAGGAGTTGAGACATTGGACACATTCATAATCACAATAAATGTGTTAAACTTAGTCTTTACAAGACAGAATTGTAGAAAAGTCAAGTCTTAAATAATTGGTGATTGTGTAAGTCGAGATTAGGTCCTCTCTAGAATCATCTAGGAAGGGTGCTCTATGAGGCAATAGGGAATGCATCTGGGAAAATAGCCTGTTTCTACTATGCAGACTGTGTTTATCTTCTGCTTTACATAAAATGAATTTGTTCAGATTGAGAAATGGCTGTGTTATTTTATAATCACACCAGTTGAACTCATTAACAAAAACTGTGGGACGTGGGCTAGGATAGACAGTGTGTATTGATCTAATGATTCTGATGCTGGCAAGAGAAAAAGTAACATTTTCCACTATAAATCTTTGCTTTTAGATTCTGCAGATTTTTCAAAGCTAGGTTTGAGCCTTCATTTTTACTTGTCACTTTTCTTTATTTTTATTCCTTTTATCAAAAAAAGCGAGAAGGATTTTAAGTGCTCTGATAACCTTAAAAGCTGCTCGGGTCTTTCAAGGAGATAATACTAGTTGTCAGGAAGCAGATGAGTTCAGCTTTTTAATTCACAAGTTCAGGATGCTGGTTTGCGGGAGAACTGGGGTCTTGCTATTTGACCATTCTGAAGAAAGGAAGAACACCTTGGCTGAGCCGTATGGAGGGGCTCGCTTCCAGCTTCTGCAGTATGCCGAAAATTTCAAACACACCACGACTACCTGTATGATAGCCCAAATGTTGACTCTTACTCTAGTGTTATAATGAATTTGGGGTGATTCTGATTTTGTTTCCTTTTTTCACGTGATACTACCTCTCTCTTCATATTTGAACTCTTTCATTCAGTGTCTGTTTATCTCCCAATCTGGCGAGTGAGTAGGTTTTTAAATATATAGCAAGGAATAATGGGGGTTGATGGTTGATGAAAGAAGACAGTCAAAGACTAAAATAAGCAGGAGCCAGCCTTTGAAGTAGTAGATGAAAAACCATTCCAGGCAATGGGAACGACATATGCAAAGATTCTAAAGCAAGAAAGAGGCAACCGCACTACAGGACCCTAAAAAAGGCCAATGTGATTAGAGTATAGGGCTGAAGGCAGAGAGCAGTAAAAGATGAAAATGATGTAAGGCTTTCTAGAAAAGTCCTGCGGCAGCTGAACTTGCGGAATGAACTGGGAAGAAACCGGAAGACGATCCAGGAGACTATTGTAGTAAGCTTGATGGTGTCTTAGATTAGGATTGTGGCAGTAAAGATGAGAATTGCTGAATTTTAAATATATTTTGGACGTAAACCCAATAGGATTTGATGATGAATTAGAGGAAGAGCTGACAGAGAAGAGAAGGAAGCAAATAAAAATTCACAGGATTATGGCTTTAGTAAGTGTGGGCACTGAGCGGGGAAAGTAAAAGAGAAATGTGAGACGCCTTGAAGATTTATGTAGGCATTAGATGTATGCATTTAAACTCAGAACTCAGAGCTGGGCTATGGAAAATTCATGAATTGAAAACTAAAGTGGGTGGAACAGAGGAGATGACATGGGGAGGTTGTACATTAAAGAGAACCTGGTATGAGCCTTGGGGGACTCCCAACATTTGAGGGTCCAGTAATGGAGGAACAGTGCCAGAAAATGATATTGAGAAGAAATATCCAGAGAGACAGAAGGAAATCAGGGAGATCGTGATGCCATGGAAGCTCAGAGAGGAGAGATTCATAGAGAAGAAAGGATCAGAAGCTATTTAGGTATCTCAGCAAGAAATGTGTGAAGCCCAACGAAGACCATTTAAAGACTCCCAGGAGGCACAAAAGTAGACTTGAACAAGTGGAAAGACATCCCTTGTTCTTAGATAGGATGATTCAACATCATAGATAATTCATTAAGTTTAATGAATTTAATGTGGGAACCCACTAAAAATACCAGCAGGATTTGTCTTTCTTGTGATTGTTTTCCCCCTGGAACTATGAAGATTGATTCTAAAATTCATATAGAAAAAAAGCAAGCAGGAGTAGCTAGAATAGCCTTATAAAAAGGAAAGGATGAGGAGAGACCACCAGATATTAAAACATCCCTGGGGGCTCAGTCGGTTGGGCAACTGCCTTCAGCTGGGGTCGTGGGATTGAGCCCCACATTGGGCTCCCTGCTCAGTGAGGGAGTCTGCCTCTCCTTCTCCCTCTGCCTCTTCTCCTGCTTATGCTCTCTCTCACTCACTGTCTCTGAAATAAATAAATAAAATCTTTTAAAAAAAGAAAAAGACATCTATGATTAAAACCACAAAGGACTGATGCACAGATAGACGGACAGCAATGAAACAGACCAGAATGTGTAGAAATACCATGAAGTACATATGAAAATGTAATATGTGATTGAAATGCCCTATTAAATCACCGGGAGAAAGATGGGACATTTTAGTAAATAGTGTTGGAACAACTGGGTGGCCCCTTGTCAAAAGATAAAATTGGATCCATACCTCATGCCGTATACCAAAATAAACCCCAAGTGGGTGAAAGATTTAAAAGTACATGACGAAAACATACGACCGATAGAACACGTAGGTGGATGACCCTGTAACCTGAATGGGAAGAGGGCCTTTCTTGTATGGATTAAAATTCTGATATAATATATGAAAAAAATTACTGAATTTGGCTACATGTATTAAACGACTTGGCACTGGGGGGTTTGGAGGGAGTGCTGTGGTTGGCAGTCTTCTCAGATGGTCAAAGTGATCCCACCTCTCAGTACTCAGGCTCTTTGCCATCCCCTTCCCTTGAATGTGGGCTGGCCTAGTGATATGCTTCCAGCAAAATGGAATTTGGCCATCGTAATAGAATATCCCTTTTGAAAGGAGGCTGTGACCCCATGACTTCCGTCTTGCTCATTTTCAGTCATGAAGAAGCTGGGTGTGGCAAGCTACCTTATGAGAGTCCAAGGCTCCTTGCACCTAGAAACACAATTGGTTTTTTGTGTATTGATCTTATATGTGGTTTTCTTTTAGTGATAATAGTTTTCATCTAAAGATCTGCTTCATTTCCTTTGAAGTGAGTCATAAATAATGTTAGTTTTCTTCCTTCCCCAACCATACCAGCTAATCTATTTATTGGTCTCCCTGCGCTGGCTGGGAAACTCATAATCGAGGCATCTCTGTCTTCCTTCTGTGCATAAAGAGAATTTGTAAAGGTTACCTATCTATAAATGGTATTTGCTCTAGGTTCTTGGTAAATTAGCCTATACTAGATTAAGGAGGGGTCCTTCTATCCCAAGTTTAGTAAGTCTTTATCATGAAAGAGTGTTGTATCTTATTAAAGTCTTTTTCTACATCTCTTAGGTTATTGAACAGAATATTTTTTTTCTATGAAGTGTCTTGAATTTATTAGTCTTTCTGTGTCTATTAAGACCAATGGTTTTTCTCCCTTAACTTGTACCCTGTTCATTTTTCACACAGATACAAGATGATCTCTGAATTTACCTGGCCCAACCATGACCTTCCTTCAGACAAAGAGGCTGTCAAGAAGCTGATTGAACATTGTGGTTTTCAGGATGACGTAGCTTATGGGAAAACCAAAATTTTCATTCGAACACCCCGAACACTGTTTACCTTGGAGGAGCTCCGTGCCCAGATGCTCATAAGAATTGTCCTCTTTCTACAAAAGGTAATTTTAGATTTCATAAATAGGGATCAGGTCTTGCTTTTATGTTCTTAAAATTTTGCTGGATGTTTTCTTTGACTCAAGAAATGTTCATGATGGTATATTCCTTGTATCTATGCCTCTCTTAGAATGTTTTCTGTTGCCTCCACACATGACAAATTTATTTGGCTGCCTGAGCTCAAAATTATTCTGTCCTCAAAATTCAAGACATTTTATCTTCTGATGTTTAAAGTTAGGGAGGTGTCAAAGTTTAAAGTTAGGGAGTAGCCAGCTTTTTGTCTCTTGTCATTAACTGGGTTTTTTTTTCCCCCTCAGCCTAACTGGGTGAAGGACTTTTTTTTTAAATCTGGTAATTGCAAAGTTTTGCTGACATGTTTAAAACCCCCTGCTCAGCCACCATAACCGAGCACCAGCACTTGACTGAGGAGTGAGGTGCCGACTGGAAGCTCATTAGCTCATAGTAGCACTCATCATTATTCTGGGCAGGGCCCCCTTCTCACTTCATTCACTCACTCATGTTTTTCTTTTTATCTGCCATACCCATTTCCATGCCTTCCAGATGAGCCATTTTTATCTTAAAAATTATATATAGGGTGCCTGGGTGGCTTAGTGGGTTAAAGCCTCTGCCTTTGGCTCAGGTCATGATCCCAGGGTCCGGGGATCGAGCCCCGCATCGGGCTCTCTGCTCAGCAGGGAGCCTGCTTCTCCCTCTCTCTGCCTACCTCTCTGCCTACTTGTGATCTCTGTCAGATAAATAAATAAATAAAATCTTTTTAAAAAATTATATACATACCTTTTTAAAAATCTTGTGCCTTTTTAAAAATCTTGTGCGAGAGGTATGTTTTCTATGGGGTATATACCAGGAGAAAAGCTGCTGGGTCAGATGGTGTAGCTGGCCTGATCGGTATAAGTAGTGCCCATTTCCTCCCCAAAAGGACTGTCTGTTTGCACCAACTCGCTCAGGGAGTTACTGTGCCCACGTCCTGACTAGTAGCGTCCAGCCACCACAATTTTGTAAGAGTAGTAGGCGTACTGGTATCTCACTGTTGTTTTACTTTGTGTTTCTCTGGTTACCATTGAACCTGAGCATCCCACTAAATGCTTATTTGCTCCTTGGGTCTTCCTGTAAACTGTCCTCTGTCCGTTTTTCCCCTGGAGCTGGTACCATTTTCTTGTTGATTAGCAGACATTTCCTTGAGTATTTTGGACACACGTCCAAAAGTGTCCAAATGTCACATTAGACATTTAAAATACGTTCTTTTTTTTTTTTTTCCTTTAGAGAGGGAGAGGGTGACAGAGGAAGAGAGAGTCTTAAGCAGCTGTGCAGCCTGACACAGGGCTCGATCTCATGACCCTGAGATCACACAACCTCAGACACCCAGCTGAGCCACCCAGGTGCTCTGAAGAAAATCCTTAATTTTGACATTATCAAATTCTTCAATTCTTTGTCTTACATTTTGTTGAAGAGGGCTTTCCTTCTCTCCAGGTCACAAAGATGGTAGCCTCTGTTTCCTCCTCTGAACTGTATACTTTTATCTTGCACATTTAGGTCTTGAATCCATCTAGAACCTACCTATATATGTGGTTTTACGTAAGAATCCCGTTTCATTTTATTCTGAATGGTGAACCATTTTCTCGGGACCATCTGCTGAACAGTGTGTCCTTTTCCCATTGATCTGTGGTGCCACTTTTATCATATATTATCGGGTGTATATATTCTGTCTCTGAATGTTTATTTATACAGTTACCTATTTTTAGATCAATGCCACAGAGTTTTTGTTGCAGCGTGTCTTAGGGTATGGTAGGGTCAGTCATCTTCTCACTCTTCTTTATGCGGATGGATTAACCTACACCTAGACCTTTATTTTGCAATATAAATGTTAATGTGTGTTCATTGGGTTCATTTAAATTCAACAACAATTTTTATTAGGATGGCATTGAATTTATACATTAATTTGAAAGAATTAACGTTTTTACAATATTAAATCATCTTAAAAGTACAGAATAGGCTTATTTAAGTCACTTATTTGAACTTAGATTTAGAGAGGCCATAGAAATCCATGGTTAATTCCTAGATGTCTTATTGTTTTTGTTACTGCTGTGAATTTTTTATTCTACATGCCAGTGTTGGTACAGAAAAATAGTATGGGCTTATGTTGGTTTGTCTGTATCCAGAAGGCAACCTTTGTTCATTCCTCTAGTTTTTCTGGGGAAATGGTTCTATCGTGTGCAAATAATGAAGGTTTTTCTCTTCCCTTCCGATGGCCAAAATGTTTCTAAGTTTTGCTCTCTATTTGTTTTGCCTAGAACTCGGAAAATTTTTCAGAGTAGAATACTAAATTCTGTTTCTTCTTGAAACAGTTTCCTTTTGCTAACTGGCTTTTTTTGTATTGCTTTTACTCTGTTGTATTTTGTGCAGGGTGGGTGTCTGTTTTCTGTCTGCCATGGTCAGTCGTTTTTTTTTTTTTTTTAAGATTTTATTTATTTATTTGACAGAGAGAGAGATCACAAGTAGGCAGAGAGGCGGGCAGAGGGAGAGGGGGAAGCAGACTCCCTGCTGAGCAAAGAGCCTGATGCGTGGCTCGATCCCAGGACCCTGAGATCATGACCTGAGCTGAAGGCAGAGGCTTAACCCACCGACCTACCCAGGCGCCCCTGGTCAGTCATTTTCATTTATCTGTTGTGTATATTCAGACTTAAGTACTTGCCAGTGGTGTTTCGTTGTTGTTATTCTTTTTGGCAGATCTGACACTCTTCTTTTCTTCTTTATACCTATTTCAAGAAATTGACTCGGGCTCAGGGTTTGGCCCTGAAGGAGAGCGAGGACCATCCCTCACCATTTCTTTGAGACAGTCCTGGTTTATGACTGTTGTCTCGTGTCCCCCTTTCTCTCTCAAAAGTGTCACTTTTGCTATGGATAATGATGCATGATACATTGTGTCGTCGCCCTACCGTGAACTCACTTTCTGTCTGCTTGGCAGCTGGGGGAATCCTGTTCTTCACTCTCCAGCGGCGGTCTGCCCGCTTCCTCCACAGTCAGCGGTGTCCCACAGACGTGAATCTGCTCCAGCCCGGCTAGTGCCCCCAGCCCCATGAGCCAGCTCTTGCACAGTAGGGATGCATACCTACTATGGTTCTCCTTCTCTGCAGCGCCTCTGCTTCTCTTCTGGGGAGAAATTACCATTTCTACGTAGAGAGGGGAGGTTCTAAAAGAGGAAGGATGACTACTTCAAAAGCTACCACCCATGCCATGGGGGAAGAGCTTCCAGCGCGCCCTGTGATACAGATATTGCATTTCTGAACCAGAAAGCAGTGGAGCAGGAAACAAGGATCTTTCTCAGAATTTTCAGGCCAACCATTCTAGGGTATGATAATAGGTGATCTACTAATTGGTTTTCAAACCAACTCCACAGCCAATAAAAATTATTGGAAGTATCTGGAGTGCCTGGGTGGCTCAGTGGGTTAAAGCCTCTGCCTTCGGCTCAGGTCATGATCTCAGGGTCCTGGGATCAAGCCCCGCATCGGGCTCTTTGCTCAGCAGGGAGTCTGCTTCCCCCTCTCCCTCTGCCTGCCTCTCTGCCTACTTGTGATCTGTCTCTGTCAAAGAAATAAATAAAATCTTAAAAAAAAAAACCTATGCTACTATCATATTTCCTGAATTCTTCCTCTTTAAAAAAAAAATTATTGGAAGTTTCTCTCAGCTTCTGGGAATAGGTCATCAGTCACCTAAGTTTTCATGTGCTGTGTGTTTTTATTTTTTTCTGTAACCTTACAGGAATGGAATAGGAAGTTAGGAAAGGCGGCATCAGGAGATGCTATTTTTTTTTTTTTAAGATTTTATTTCCTTGACAGAGGGAGAGCACAAGCAGCCAGAATGGCAGGCAGAGAGACAGGGAGAAGGAGGCTCCCTGCTGAGCAGAAAGCCCCATGTGGGGCTCGATCCCAGGACCCCAGGATCATGACCTGAGCCGAAGGCAGACACTGAACCGACTGAGCCACCCAGGCGTCCTAAGAGATACAGTATTAAACCAGAATTTCCAACAACTGACTTTTATATTCCCTTTTTAAATAAAAAAAAAAATAGCTTAATTTTTTTTTCTGATTATCCATTAAGGCATACTTATTGCAAAAACAAGTTCAAGCCATACCAAAAAGTGTAAGAGAAACAGTGGAGAATCACCTAAAATCCCACCATCCAGAGGTAACAAATCATTAGTGTTGTGGTGGTCATCCTTTCTAATATCTTTCTATGCTTATAGACAAGCATATGTACTATAATATAAATGACATCATAGTTCACATGGTGATTTTTTTATGAGCACCTTTCTCTTTTTTTTTCTAATATTTTGGTATTCTTTTTCCCACATTTACCTTCTCTGCCCACAACTCCTCCCACCACCTATGTCAAAGGGTCCCCGAGACCACTTCCAGTTGTGGTGATTCACTAAAAGGATTCACAGGGCTCAGCCTATAGTTGTGTTCATGAATTAAATTTATTACAGCAAAAGGATGCAAAGCAAAAATCAGCAAAGGGAAAAGGCACAATAGGTAAAATCCAGAGGAAACCGTGAGCAAGCTTCCAAGAGTTTTCTCCCAGTGGAGTTGCACAGGACATGCTTAATTCCTGCAGAAATGAGCTGTGACAACACATGCTAAGTGTTGTCTACTGGGGATCCCATCACAGACTCGGTGCTTAAAGTTTTTACTGGGGACTGATTATGTTTGCACCCTCTGCCCCACATGTACCGAAATCCCATACTCGAAGAAGGGCGGCAGGTATTATAAACCCCACTGTTTGCACAAGTGGTGTAACCACATTGAGTCACTCTTACCATTTAGGGAAAGTTTTGTATCAGCATGTGAAACTGTTTCCCAGTCAAGTTCGAAGACACTAGCCAAGGGCCAACTTTGGACGACGCGGACTTTTCTAGGGATATAGTCTCACGCCTGCTGTGTTAACTCCTTTCCAGATGCTCCCACAGTCTTCCCATAACTTTAATAGA